GGAAAGAGGGCTTTTTTTCTTTCTCTTGGCATTTGGCATTTTATGAGGAAGCCAAGTACTGCTTTTTGCAGTGCATATCCAAGACTGACACAGCAGCTCCTTGGGTTCAGTCAGTTCAGCGAGTTGAGGATTTTGAGAAGAGACGCAAATGAAATGTTATTCTATAGTTGCTGAGATACTGGCCTCATCAGGGTATGGTTTATAAAGTCTGCGGTGCTGCTGAGGGATCGAAGAGTTAAAAATTCCAAAGACTTAATCCAGTGTAATAACATTTTGCAAGGCCTATCAAACTCACAGCAAGTGAGAAGCAGAAAAGCAACTGATCTAGGTGGAAAATGAAATTAGATGGAATTATATTGCCACAGGTTTTTTCTAACTAGTTGTTTAACTTAACAGGGTAGGCGCACGTTTATCTGAGCCCTCAGCAGAAGCTCAGGCCGAGTTGTGCTCCCCTGGCTCTCTCGGGCTGTATCATCCACAGAAATGGAATGCCCTTCATCCGGTTTGAACAGAGCAGTGTTCTGCTGTATCTCATTTTGGTCACTGATTTGTATGCTGTAGAAGCCATCTCGTTCCTTAGAATACAGCCATATATTGTTGTGTGTGTTTTCCTTTTGCTGCTGTGTACATAGTGGATTGTTGTTCGTTTGTTTGAAGGACTGAAACATCTGGAAGAGACCGGGGATAGCAATGTCTTTGTACGTAGGTTAGAAGTTGAGGTCCCTTCCAAGGGGCAGTGTTACGTGCCATCGACTGTGGTGCTCGTTTGTATACTTGAGGGTTTTGGTGAGGGAAAGACACGCAATACAACAGTAATCCAAGCAGCTGGATAAAACCCTGGCTGCTAAAACGACCACAAGGTAAAAAGGGATCTATTTCCCTGAGTGGTTCTGCAACTGGTTCCTACCATGCTAATACCAAATAGTAAATATTTATATGTAATGAGCTTAGCTGAGATTGGGTAAGTAGTGAGAGGAATCAGTTTTTACTAAAATATGTCAGGAAATGATGCAGAAAGAGCAGGCAGGTCTCGCTGCCAGAAATTACTTTCTCTTGTAAAGTAAGTGTTGCCATGTGGTTTGGACACAAAAACATCCAGTTATAACCTGAGTCTAGACAATAGGTAGTCACACACAAAAAGAGTAATTAGAAAGTGAGGGGGAAAAGGAGGGATAAGTTCTTCTGTACTGCAGCCCCGTTCCAGTGAGTTACTCTGCAAGGAGCCCCCTTTTACCAGACTGTATGCCGTAGGAACAGAAGAACAGTTCTGGCACTCAGGCTCAGTCTAGTGCAAACAGTTTATTTTCTGAGAAGGGAACTGCTGTTTTGTTACGCTGCTTCCCAGCAAATGAGCCAGGCGCTCGTGCATTTGAAACAGAACCTCAGGTGAGTGACGGTGAGCTGAGCCGGGGCTGGAGTCCTGCAGCAGCCTATCCTTCAGCTCCAGTGCTGCAGTCCGAGACAGGAAGATTATTCCTTTGAGGATAAGACACCTGGGGCTTCTGCAGAAACTACGTATGCCCAAGTTCTGCAGCTGTGCTCTCAGTATTAAAAAAAAGGGCAGAGAAAGACAAAGCATCTGGCTCTTCGGTGTGCCACCAAAAATTTCTCAAAATGCTAAACCCCAAACTAGCACCTTTCATTCTGCAGCGGTGTTGGCTGCAAATCCTTTCCGTCTCGCGGCTGAGGTACGCTCTCCTCCGGAGCTGCCTGCCTGGCGTGCCCTGGGGCTTTGCCCTTTGCCTGCGAGAGAAGAGGGGGTGCGGGAGCCTGCCTGCGTTTGCACGCGTGTGAGCGAGAGCGTGTGTGTGCGGTCTCGTAAGGTGGCAGGGCGCCGGCAGTTGTGCAACTTTCCAATAAAGTCTCAGTGCGTCGGTATTGGTTGCTTGGGTGTTTGTTTTTTTTCCTGTCCGTTGCCCTCCAGTTTCATTTCCATTTACGAGTGTGGAGAGAGAGGGAGAGAGGTTGAGAAGCCGTAGCAGACCCCTCCCAAGCCACTGGAGAGCCGCGCAGTTCCCACGACAGGTGGAGCACGCCGAGCGAGATTCCCGGGTGGTGGTGCCCGGGCAGAAGGGGAGGGGAAGCCCAGGCGCTCGGGGCAGCTGCTGGTTGCAAGGGGCCCCTTCAGCACGCTGCGGCAGCAGCGGCCAGAAGTTCCACTTCTATTTTTTGAAAGGACTGGAGAAATTATTAACCACAGTTGATGACGTCAGAGTTGATCTGATTAAAGGTTTGTTTTCTTGCTGGCAGAGGTGTGCTCCGTAGAGACTGGTTCTCTCTTCTTTTTTTTTTAAGTTTCTTTTTTGAACAGCAAACGGAGGGAACTGCTCGCATTGCCGCTGCCGCTGCTCCAGCCGCGTGTGTGTGTGTGTAAACAGGATGGTGTAGCTGTAGCTGCCACACGCAAACACACATTTGACCATGAGGACTCTTCGCAGGTTGAAGTTCATGAGTTCGCCCAGCCTCAGTGATCTGGGCAAGAGAGAGCAGGCAGCCTTGGATGAGCGGGGAACACAGCAGCGACGGGCCTGCTCCAACGCCACCTGGAACAGGTAAGGTCTCGCACGATGTGCCGACTCCCGCGGTTAACGCACAGGTGGCCACTCCGTCGGCTTGCAGGCTGGGCTGCCTTGCTCCCAGCTCGGCGAGGTCGCAGCACCTCGGGCTTCTGCGTTAGTGTGTTACACGTACCGGCGTTCGTGTTGAAGTCAGACGGGAGTGGTGTTTCCCATTGCTGCTAACCTTTCTCTGAAGACTGATAGCAAAGAACCTGTCCTGCCGATGGCTCGGCCTGAGCTTCCTTGTGATGGACAAGGACTTACTTCAAAGGGTCCAGTGACAAATATGTCTTTGTGTCTGTTTAAATACTCTCATTCACTGTTCATTTGGTTTATTTCAGTTTAAAAAGAACCGTATATACACAGCTATTGAAATACATTGGTTTTATCTGCATAACTGTAGACATTGCTGGTTGTTGATACAGACGTGACAAAGTCTACTCAATTTACTCATATTAATACAAATACCTCTCTGTGTATGTGTGCACGCAAGCACACGCACTTTGGACAGGGAAAAATAAGCCCTGATTGTTTTCTTTGTTGTGTTTATACATCTGAATTGTGTTACTGTTTCACAAAAAAGACCCATCCAAACATTTTTTTGAAAATGTGTCACTTAGCACAGATATTCAGAAAGCATCTTAATGACCGTTTTGGTGACACTCTTAAAGATGAGTCCAAGTCTCTTTAAGTCATTAGGAATTACATTCTTAACGTCCTTTTTGAAAATGAAATGCCATCTCCTGGGTCACAGCTTGGAAAGTGTCATTTGTGATGTTTTATAATTGTATGGCGGTACAGCTGTAGGAAGAAAAATGCCAGTGAGCTATAGAGACATTTTTTAAAGGTATTTGAGTTCTGAGCAAAAAAGCCTATTATAAAATAGCACATCTCCTGTCCCTCTCACCACTCAGTTTGTGGTTTCACACCTGCATTATGAATTAGTTTTTTAATGCCAGCAGCACACCAAGCGCTGAAACTGTACTGGTCACAAAAAAGACCCAAGTTTGTACTTAAATGTTGTGCTGTTTGTATGACCTGGAGCTGCCCCTGAGGTCTGGATGATGGTGGTAATTAAAGACTAGATTGGGCTGCCTTGGCTTGTGCCAGTTGGGATTTTGCTTGGCCACTAGCCCCATGGGAAGCAGCAGGGAGTAAAATATGCCTTGGTGGGAACCAGGGTGACAGAATATGGTCCCCAAAGCCGGTTTGTGTTTTTGCTGATGTCTTTAGTTGGCAGGGATTAGCGTTTCCGGGTCTTGCTTGTGGGGATTGAGCCATGGAGGCGGATGCGAATGGAGAGCAGGTCAGGCACCAGACATGTTGGGAGAAGTCCAGGCTTAGGGGCTGCTGATGTTCAAACCAGTGGGTTTTCCTAAATGAGATGGAGCAAGAGTTTGCTGGTTTTAATTCGGGCAGGACAGGTGTAGCTCTGGCCAGGAGTGGTTGCCTGTCAGCAAGCTGGACTTCCGTGTATTTCATCCAAACGGTTAGACAATCATCCCATCGCCTGTTCCTGGAATAGATGTTTGCGAGTCATCCTCTCACCACTTCACGTGAACTCAGGCCTAACCGCCCTTTCCTGCCACGGGTCGCCTTTTCCCTGTGCAGGGACTGCGGAGCCGTCCCTGCCGTTTGGTGGCACGTGCCTCTCAAATGCCTCGGGAATGCTGGCAGAGCTGCTGTTGTGCAGTGTCCGGCTGGTGCTGCCTGCGGCGGCAAGGCAGGTGGGCAGCGCGGATCTACACTAACAGCTGCCTAAAGCTATGGCAAGTGCTGCAGATTATGAGCCAATTGCCACTGCATGGACACAGGGAAGGGGCTTTATTTCTTGCCTAATAGCGCAAGGCTTTCTCCTGAGTGGAAGAGAGAGCGAGGGTCATTCCTCTTTCAGGTACAAAAAGACTTGTATCCTGTCTTGGTTTTAAGAAACTCAGATACACTACAGGCTGTAAAAGCGAAGCTTATCCTCCTAAGAGCCAGGGCTTTAAATGGTGTTGGATTAGTTGTACTAACAAGTTATCCACTGTAGCTTTTGCCTGTCACTGCTGCGTGCCCATCTTGGCATGTGTAACAGGGTCTGGTGCTGAAGGATTCCGCTCTCCTGGAGAGACCCTGTCACCAGCTGGGCACCTAAACTCGCCAGAAATCCTGGGTGGGTTCTGAAAACTTTGGGCTGTGGAAGGTTTTTTTTATTTTTCCCCTGCAAAATTGAAATAACCCAACAGAGGACTAGCATACCACACTTCGGTGCGTGGGAATATGTGTTCTTCCAAAGGCAAGGATTGCCTGTGCTGTTTCATTCTGCGCAATGCTGAGCATCAGAGCTGGCTGATCAAGGAAGTGGAGATGCACCAGCAGAGCTCTTCCCTCTCCCCAAGCCTGCCTGTTCTATATTTGTCTCCTGGTTTCTTGCCTAGTGTTAGCAGCTGTGCCTGGGTGTGGCATGCGTGTATCTGCTTTTCAAAGAGGCTTTGAACCAAGTTAGCCAAAACTGATGTGGGGAGAGGTAAAGCACAACCCCACAGCAGGCCCTGCCCCTAATGAGGCTGCCGATCCCACGCTGAGAGTCGGCCCTTGGAGGTGGAGCGAGGATGGGTCCATGCCTGGGTCCATGCTGAAACGCTTCTGCGCTGGAGTTTTGCTGGTGGGGTCTTCTGCAAGGTCACCCCGGGCTTTCTCTGAGGAGGACGTGCAGTTCCGCAGTCGGGTCGTGGGTGACTGCAGCCTGGCTGCCCAGTGACACCCCCTCCGCCACCTCTGCTCTGTTCATACTGCTCTCAGGCTGGTTATACCATAGGATGCTTGCTGCTTTCTGACCCCCAGGAAAGGCAAACTGCAGGGGCTTAATCGCAGGGTTCCGTGTGCACTCAGTGCTAGCAAGGAAGGTCTCTTCTCCACTGATAACTTTCCTTCACTTCCATACTAAGATGCTGTAAAACTTCTTGACACTGTTAGATCAAAAGGAAATTGGTGCTGAGCCGCTGTCTGCTACTATGCAAATTAGGCGTTAGATCACAGCTTGCTTTCCCATGAACCCCAAATGATTTGTACAGCAACACGGGCAAAGCACATTAACTAGCAACCAACAGCAACACAGTGGAACAGTACAGTTTCGTTACAGCTCACAGAATTTGCACTGGATTAAAATAGCTTAGATTTTTTTCACTAGCATTGTCTTCGATTCCTTTTCTCCCTCCCCTTTTCTGCTTCAGGCAAAAAATGTGGGCTAAATGCTGACTAAACCAATTGGACTGAGAAACCCAGGGTTTTTAATCTTGAGCTTTCAAACCAGGGGGGCCCCTCGCAGGGCAAATAAAATCCATCGCAAGGTTTTCATTCTGACTGAGCTAGCACAGGCTGCCTAGTCAGGAGCTGATACTGTCTGAATTGTGCTGTGGGAAAGTCTCTCATCAAAGACACTTCGATCCTTGTTGGTGTAAGAAAATGGAGAAAATTCAGGGAAACAAAGAGTAGGAGATAGCAAAGAAAAGGAGAAGACCCAGATGAGAGGCTTGTGACATTAGTGAGATCAGCACTAAATCCAAGGAGACCTACAGAATCAGGAAGAGTTTTATGGTTCGGGCTAATTTTTACAGGGTTGTAATACGCACAGTAACTTGCTTTAAAGTAATTTTTACAGTCATGGGAACCATATTTCATCTTCTAATTGAAAATGAATGGTTTTTCAGATAACAGGGAGGCTTTTTCTAGTGAAGAAGATATTCTAGACCAGCATATTTATCTACTACTCAGAAATTTTCTTTCTTCCAGTATTTAGTGTTTATTTAGAAATATTTTTAAATATTTCTGCCTGTCTGAGGATTACCATCTTTTTCCTGACCCTGTATTTGGAGCCCTGTTCAGAGCATTTGGCCGATTGCGTGCATGGGGGGCAGGCAGAGACGAGCTAAGGGGTGGGGAGGAGGGACGGGTGGGTGAAGGGGACTTCCCAGCTGCTCAAGCTACCGCTGCGCCATGGAGCAGATGGTGGAGAACTGCTGCTCCCCATAGCCCTCCAGACGTACTTGCTTGGATGGAGGTATAATTGGACACCAAAATCTCCTTAGTCCCGCACTGTGTAGAGACATTTACTCTTGGTAACACTTCAGGGAGGTCCCTTCGCCTGTCCATCTCAACTTCTTCGTATGGAATAGTGTTTATTGTTGCTGGAGTTCGTAAACTAATGCCTCTCAGACTCTTTGAAGACGAAGTTTTGCAGACTGGCTTATTTTCACTTCTGTGATCCAGTGCGTAATTGCAGCCTGTCCCTCTCTGCAGATTGCTTTGTCGTGGGTAGGAATTTCAGAAACGTAAATGAACGAGGAGCTGCAGACTTGTTTTGAAAGGGTCAAGGCTGCATGGAAAGCCTGCGGCATTGCAGCTGGACTGAAGCTGTGTGGAAGATGGGCTCATCCCAATTGGATTAAGTTAATTCAGAAAAATAAGGTTTTATTCTGGAGCAGGGGTGTCTTCAAGGAGGCTTTGATGCAAGTATATCAGGTTAATTATTCTAAATGAGCCCTAAATCACTTAGTCCCTTTTGAAAATGAAAATGTTCCCTTTAAATACTCGGTACTCACAGGATGTGATTATTCACACTGCATTATTTTTGCACATGGACTTCACTTAGAACTCTGGCAGGGGGAGAATTTGCAAACACTAAATAAAAACCAGTGTATATTTTCACTCATGTTGTTTGCATGTGAAGGTAGTGGCTGCTTTAGAGAAACAGAATTGCCTGTAATTCTGTGCACGGAAGAAAACGTGGGCCGCTTCACCTGCTTTGCCTGGAAATACCAAGCTGCATTTGGGCGTTTCCAAATGGCCACGGTCGAAGCAAACAGGTACAGAATTCAGCCAGACACTTGCAAGGCCAATTTTGCAGCTGTTCCTTAGTTCTGTGGACAGACTGTTTCTGACCTGGAAGAAAACAGTGTTTTAAGAAGGTTTTCCTTCTTGTCTTCTTAAAAATGTCAATGAAAGAAAGGGGG